GCCGCCCGGCGACCCTGCGCGCGGCGCGCTGGCGGCGGCCGCCGCGGCGCCGCCAGCGCTGCCCGGCACGACGGCGACCAGCTGCTGTGCGCGCATGTCCCAGACCGCCGCCCCCCCGCCGCTGTGCACTGCCAGCAGGAGGTGGACGGGCGGGCGGGAGGAAGCTGCCAGGAAGGTCACCTCTCCGCTGGCCTCCAGCTTCTTTGCAGGTACTGGAAACGGCACGAAAAAGAGTCACGGCAGGTCGTCAGCGGCGAGTGGCCCCCCAGCTCTGTCAACAAAACATGTTTCGATTCAGCCCTCCTCCTAGCAAGAAGGATGACAAACACGCTGCCCCACCTGCTATTCCAATAATCCCCGGTCAAAACTCACTGCTATACGACGTGAGCTTGAGCCCCCGCACTTGCCGCGCCGCCGTCACGCCCGAGCCGGACGCGTTGACCATCTGCGCCACGCGCACCGCGCCGCTGCGGCACCCGAGTAGCAGGAACGGCTCCCGCTGCATCGCCGCTGCAAACGTGACCGCGTCACCCCCGCCCAGCTCCAGCTGCTGCAGTGGCGCCCCTGCACCCGCCGCCGCGCCCGCGGCGGCGGCGTCGCCGGCGCCGACGGCGTCGGGCTCGATCGCCCACAGCTGCAGCCGCCCCGCCTGTGCGAGGGGCGCGCATCAATGAGCAGCGGGCGGGGGCTTGGCTCAGGCTCCTACCTGTGAGCCTCTGCCGCCTTTGTGGAGCGTCTCATGGGGGTTGCCGGGCAACACGTACGCCCCTGCCATCGCCCAGCCCTCACAGCCGCTGGGGCGCACTTACACTCGGGCTGAGGCAACTAGAGTGCTCCAAGCCGCCGCTGCGGCAGCTCTGTGCCGCCTGACCCCACCGCCTCAAGCACACACGACTGCCCGCGGTTGATTCCTACCTCGTCCACCCGCAGGACCGCGCCCCGGTTAACCAGGAACAGCAGCTGCCTCGCCGCGGGGTGGGGCGCGCCGCTGCCGCAGCGCAGCGTGCGCTCGACGCCCTCGCGGCCGAAGATCTTGACCCGGCCATCTGTAGTGCTGACCTGTAAGCACGGGGTCCCACATGCGGGTCGGCACACCGAGTACCAGCTGCAGCAAGGGTGTGCGCCCTGCTGTCCCGGGCGACGCGACAGCAGGGCTCACTGCGCATTGCAGCAAGGTCAACCACTCCTCCACGCGCCCCTGTCGGCACCGCCGGCGTGCTGATCGTTGCTCCTTGTGGTGCCTCACCGCAAGAAGCCTTTGGGTGGGCTCGTAAGCGCAGCAGTCGGACGCGAGGGGGATGCCTGACGCTGCCTGCAGGCACCCGACACCGCAGGCCAGCTGCGAGACGCGCAGCCGGTCGGGCGGCAGCTGCGTGGTGTCGCTACCCCACCCGAAGAGCTTCATATAAGCCTGTGAACTATGCCGAAGCAGCGGTCAGGGCGCCTGGACCCAGTCTGTTGCCCAAAAAATCAGGCGCCCAGCCAGCCTAGGAGCCAGATCACGCCTATAGAGAGTTCTAGTTTCATTCAAATGTCACATAAGGGCACCTGCTGTTGCTTGGAACAGCCGAACACTGAGCTGGTACTGGTTGGCCCGTGCGCGCGCTTTGAGGACCAACTGTCAACTGAGCTGAACGCGATGAAAACATAACACGTCCTCAGCAGCATAGTCGGCGATCCACACCATGCGGTGTGCGCTTCGCTCGGCACACCAGATTATTCGCAGTCTTGTGCCACTCCTCGCCGCTGCTCTGGTGACTGGCTCATCTCTGCATGTGCTCAGGAGATACCTGCTGAGACACTGAGCTTATCATAAGCCAATGGCATCTCGTCACCATCCTCACCAGTGCGGCACCGATGCAATGCCGTGTGCCGCAGCGACCTCTGAGCTCCGTTGACCGCCAAAGACCGCCAGTAGGGAGTGGCAACGCAAGTACGCAGCGGACTCTTCCAGTTCTCATGGAAGCCGCTTGCATCTGCGCTGCACTTCATGCACTGTGTAAAATTTGTGCTGAGGCTGATCGGCTGCTTGTCACATCATCTCGGCGCTTCAGGGCGGCGCATTTGTAGCTGAGATGCACCACTGCATGTGCTCATCTGACCTCCACAACCTCAGGGGCTTGCGCATTGGATGTCGTAGGACTGCGGAAAGCAGCGCGGTCCAGGGGCAGACCGACTGCTGCTGCCATTGTGCATTTATCCGCCACAACCGCCGCCAAGCCACATCCGTTCACGCTGTGCTTCAGTCCTGCCTTCACCGCTGCAGGGAATCTGCCATTCAGCACTCCCTTGGCTTGGATCACCAGTGAAGCCCACCGTAGGGCTCTCGAGGCTCAGGCAATCTGGATGCCATGTTGTGACAGTTCTAGTTGAGACACTCAACGCATCGCTTGATTGCAGCTGTTTTCCAAGAAGCGCGCCTAGCCAATCATGCATGCCCTTCATTGTGACCCAATTTTAGGGGAGTGGATGATGCACGACAAAGACCGCCGCCACATCAAGCAACAGTCGGCTGTTGATTTGTGCATCAGCAGTCCTTCTCAAACTACAATCAGATATGTATAGATGATGTCAGTTCTGCCTTATCAACAGCTCTCGCAAGGAGAAGCATTTGCCAAGAAGAAGCGGCGCCACCCCCTATGAAAGGTGTCTTGGTTCAGACTGACAATACAGGTGGGCACTCCGCTGTCGTCCAGCAAGCCCCGGCCCTTCAGACCACCACAAACGTATTTTACATGCTCAAAATCATCTGTCATATGGCATCTTGGCTCACACACGGGGTCGAGAGCTCTGGCACGCCGCATGGCGGGGGCAGTGGGCGGCCTCCTGTGTACCAGACAGCACGGCCGCTGTGGACGATCACTACTAACACATTTACCACAGTAGTTTCATCTCGAGACACCTATGATGGCTTCGCTTCACATAAGACTTCTCGTTACAAGCGTTGCGGTGGGTGACCCGCGGGTGCCGTGGTCACAATCCTGCTTGCTACCCCCACTCATGCATCCAATTGCTCTTGAAACACGTAATTCCATTTCCCATTCTCGCAGACGGAGCTCGTACACGCGATCTAAAAGCGCGGCGGTGTTGCTTGCGGCTGCATCGTCAAGATGACAGAGGACTTTTACAGCGAGATTAAGACCTCTACAGGCGCCTTCAAATGGTACTGCGCCGGCGAGTGGCTCGAGTCTACGAGCGCCAAGACCGTCGCTGTGCTCAACCCGTCCACGCGCCAGAAGGAGTTTGAGGTGCAGGTGTGTGACAATTGGGAGACTGCTAGCTGGGGGACGGCTGAAGGGTCTGTGGCCTACCCACACTTGCATCAGCGACAGACCTCTGCCGCTTGCATTGCCTGCATGCTGCGCCTGCTGCAATGCTTGCTGCACACCGCAATTGCCGTGTGGTCAGCGACAGCCTTTCTTGTTCCAGCAAGACCTGACAGCCTTTATGTGCCATCGCAGGCATGCACCCAACAGGAGGTTGACAGCGCATTTGCAGCTGCAAAGGAGGCACAGAAGGCATGGGCAAAGACGCCCCTGTGCGAGCGAGCTGAGGTGCTGCATCGTGTCGCCGCCGTCATGCGGGAGCATGCGCAGCCAATTGCGGACTGCCTGGTGAAAGAGATCGCCAAGCCCCGCAAGGACAGCCTGAGTGAAGTCATCAGGTGTGAGCAGGCGCTTGGTTGCACAGCGGTATTAGCGTAAGAGGAGGTAGCTGGGAGACACGGCGCGTGCAGCAGCCATGCATGCACCATGCCGCGTGCATCCTATTACCACTGGCAGCTGCTCAGCGGATGGTTGAGCTCCTCTGGCACGGCGAAACAGTCGTTTGGCGATGCAATCGTGTTGTATGGCGGCTGGTTGTCCGGGCGGGGCCGCTGGCACTAGCTCGGCAGCCCAGCCATTATGAACCTGCATGAGGCACTGCGCCACCACCATCCTAATCCCGGAGCATTTGGTCACGCACGCGGTGTGCTGCGAAGTAAGCTGCCACCTGCTCTCACACTACATCGTCTGCGGCAGGTCGGCTGATCTTATTGATTACACAGCAGAGGAGGGCCTGCGCTCCCTCGGCCAGGGAGAGCTGCTGAACAGCGACTCGTTCCCAGGGCAGACGCGAAACAAGCTGTGCCTGGTGTCCAAGGTGAGGTGAAGGATGGAGCAGGCGCGCAGGGGAGAGGCGGCAGCAGCGTCGGCTGGCCAGGCCAACCAGTACAACAAACCAGTGGCGCTGGGGCTCCGTTTTCAGCGGCACTGGGGCTTTGCTCGGGCAGGACGCAGTGGCCGCCGGCTGTGCTCGTTGTAGATGCTTTCTGAGCCGCAAGCTATCACCTTGCATCGCGTCTCGCCCGCCGTTGCCCGCGGCCGCAGGTGCCCCTCGGCGTGGTGCTAGCGATCCCGCCCTTCAACTACCCGGTGAACCTCGCCGTCTCCAAGCTGGCGCCCGCCCTCATGGCCGGCAACGCGGTCGTGCTCAAGCCGCCGTCGCAGGGCGCGGCCGCGGGCGTGCACATGGTGCAGTGCTTTGCGGCGGCGGGGCTGCCCAAGGGGCTTGTCAACATGGTCACTGGCAAGGTGCGCCCTCAGCAGTTGGAGCGGACTTTGGCAGCGGGGCCCTTGTTGCAGGGGCTATCTGGCGTCGTGCGGAGACGGCGCAAATCGTGTCTCACCCAATGAACGGCAATCAAGACCGCTGTCGACATGTACCTGATGAAATGTGCCCTCCGCCGTCAATTCCCTTGCCAGGGCTCCGAAATCGGGGACTACCTGACGCAGCATGCGGGCGTCGACTGCATCTCGTTCACTGGCGGCGACACGGGCGTCTCCATCGCGCGCAAGGCGGGGATGGTGCCGCTGCAGATGGAGCTCGGCGGGAAGGACGCCTGCATCATCTGCAGGTCAGCTTGAGGCAAGGGGGAGAGCGGACAGATGCCTGGCTGCGACTGGGGGCCCGCTCTTGTCTCTGTGCGGACTCTTTGGACCGTGCGTAGGGGAGCGGCCGGCTCGGTTGAAGGGGGCACGGCTGGACGGAGATTGCTGCCTTCCCATAATTGCTGTGCCCACCAAATGGCAGCGCCCCGTGTGATTGCGGTGCCTTTACGGTCCCCGCGCAGCTGCTCGCCTCACCTCGCCTGAACCCCCTCTGTCCTCCATCATCGCGCCCTCACACTCACCCCCACATCCACACCCTCACCCTCACCCCCATCAACCCCACCCCCACCCCCGGCCCGCAGCGACGCGGACATCGGCCTGGCGGCCAAGGCGGTGATCAAGGGCGGCTTCTCGTACAGCGGCCAGCGCTGCACCGCCGTCAAGCTGGTGCTGGTGCACAAGGACGTCGCGGACGACCTCGTGGCCAAGGTGCGCGGCGCAGGTCAAACGTTGCTTGTTTGACTCTCGTGGCGTTTCGCAAGCCGTTCAGGGGCCACTCCAGGGGCGGTGAGTTCTGCTCACAGCCTTCGGTCCGCGGACACGGCTGAGAGAAGTTAAGCAGCTGTGCGCAGGCCGCTCATCACCGCACGCCCTCCGCACCACCCGCGCTGCCGCGACCTGCCCCCCAGGTCGCCGCCGGCGTGGCGAAGCTGCGCGTCGGCGCCCCCGAGGACGACGCCGACATCACGCCCGTCGTCAGCGAGAGCAGCGCCAATTTCATAGAGGGCCTGGTGGAGGACGCGCGGCACAAGGGGGCCAAGTTCCTCACGCCCTACAAGAGGTGCGGGACGGCTTTTGCACTGGACCTAGAGGCTCTTTGCTGATCAGATAAACGGGCTTGTGAAATGGCGGCGCGTGCAAGCGGGCGACGTGGCACAGTCCAGTGCTGCGAATCCAAGGCGTCCTTGAGACTTGCCGCACCAGCTGCCTTTGCCTGCTGCCTCATGTCTGATGCGCTCGGACGTGCTCGGCTTAATGGTCGTTGAGCGCCAACGCCCGCCATTCTCGTCACTCCCCGGCGCCCCTCCTTGCCGACCCCTTGAACAGGGAGGGCAACCTGATCTGGCCCACCCTGCTGGACGACGTGACGCCTGAGATGCGCATCGCCTGGGAGGAGCCCTTTGGCCCCGTGCTGCCCATCGTGCGCGTCGACACGGTCCAGCAGGCCATCGACCACTGCAACGCCAGCAAGTTCGGCCTGCAGGTACGCAGTGCGCCGCTGAGGTGTGGCGACTCCTCGGGTTTTTGTAAAGCGACTAGCAGCTGCCCAGCAGCTGGCGCACGTGGGCCGTTTTCCAGGTTGCTAGCTCAAATTAATAATGCTACATCGAACTTGAGCTGCTCCTGGCTACCGATCAACGGTCCCAACTACCTTGCCGCTTTACTGTTCCACCTCCTTGCCCCCCTTGTTGCCTTTGTCCCCCAGGGCTGTGTGTTCACGCAGGACATCAACCAGGCCATTGCCATCAGCGACGCCATGGAGACGGGCACAGTGCAGGTGCAGAGGGACTGACAGAATGCGGTCTGCATGCCAAGGTCCCTGTTGTGGGCGGTTCTGCAGCCACGTCGCTGCCCCGCATTGACACCTGTCTGCCAGCCTCCTCACAAGCCTCCGCGCCCAAGGCCCTGAGCATTGCGCTCTGCTATACGCCCAGCCGGGCCAGCTTGCACTCAACCCCCGCTCTCCCCTTCAACCAAATCGCGCCTGCATCTGCCCGCAGATCAACGCGGCGCCAGCGCGCGGCCCAGACCACTTCCCTTTCCAGGGCTTCCGCGAGAGCGGCATCGGCAGCCAGGGCATCCGCAACAGCCTGGCCATGATGGTCAAGACCAAGTCCACGGTCATCAACCTCAACCAGCCCTCTTACGCCATGGGTTGAGACGGCGGCGCGGCGCACCGCCTGCGAGCTTGGGACTAGCACACGCCGCACGGCCCCATACTGTCTGCAGCCAGTATGGGTGCACAGGCCTGGCGGCTGATGCGCGTGGAAGGGCGCCAAGCTTGACCCAATCTACCAGGCGGCAGCAAGTCCTGTGGGGGAGGAGGGTTATGGCCGAGAAGAGGGTTACGAGTGGGGCCTGCACCGTGTGCCCGAGCGCTTGCATCCGTCTTTATTCTGTTTCCAGGCAGCAGCTTGCTCGAACCTTATGTCTTTGGTCCACTGCTGGTGGGCTGCGCCCCTGTGAGGGGTGCGGCCCATGCGGCGAGGCGTCTTCTATTCTGCCTTCACCTCTGCGCCATTCGGGGATGGTGCGTCCTTGCTGCACGCACGCCCCCGCAGCGCGCACTGGCCCCCTTGCTGCACCGACTCTTCCAGGTCGGGCAGAGCTCGTCCCGCTGCCGACACGCAGAGGGCATCACCATATAAATCCCCTTGAGCCGGTGCGAGAGGTAGTCAGAGAGTAGGCGCCGCAGGCACGCTGGGCGTCAGCAGCACGGGCGCCGAAGGCGCATTTGCTATGGGGCAGGCTTTGCTCCGCCGCCCCCGATGCCCCGCGCACACCTCGCTCTCTTTCGTGCTCGGCGGCCTCGTCTCCTGCGTGCCTGATGGCGCGCAACAATTTGAGTGAGCTTTTGCAGCTGGTGGTCGTTTGGCTACCAGCTGTGGTCTGCTATCTGCTATATGTCGGTTCCGTGTCCACCTTAGTACCGTATCATGTCGCGTGTCGTCGCCAGCGCCCCTTCTTGGCCCTTGAGCGACGCCCACCCAGTCAACTCCCCTTCACCCTGCGACCAGAGCTACCTCTGTGCGCTTGTACATACCTGGCGAGTTTTGGACAGGCTTCATGAATGCCGGATTGCTGCAGTCTTGCTTAATGAGAGCGGCTGCGGAGGAGGGTGTGACCAGCACACATAGTCCAGAAGTAACGCATTTGTCTGGTCAAGTTGCGCTTGAATGGGATTGATCGGAGGCGTTGTGCGGGCTGCAATACAATCGTAGCTTAGAAATGAAAGACGGAATCGCTCATGACACCGCTCCTGATGCGCCCCCAAGCGTGCACCCCAAGCGTGCACCCCCAAGCCGCAGCACCAGCAGCTGCTGCTGCATTCTCTATGACAAGTAGTGCCTCTGCATTCATCATCCGCCTGCTGTTGCCTGCAGCAGTGACAATGCTCTGTCCATCCACATATATTTTCGACATCCCTTGTGTCGCGTCCACCCCTTGCCTTGATCCCTGCTTCGTCTTGTTGGCGAACGCACCGTCCAGTAGGCAGTCCTTCCTTACAAGTATCTCGCAGGCCCACTGAAAGATGGTGGAGACTAATGGCAGCAGCTCTGAGCCGGTGAGCTGCTATCAAAGGACCTGATCTTTGCCGGGCTTCCGCGCCGTTCTGTAGAGCGGCCGCATGGATCATCGCGGTTCGGTAAACATCTGAAAGGTCATCTTGCTATTATCCATGGACGGATAACGATGCCGAGCGCGCAGGGGACGCGGTGGCCGCGGGTGTCTGGTACTTCTGCTGCTATGCCTCCGGTGCAGTATAGTGGCCACTGGCACGAGGGGCCAACCCGAAACGCCTTGTAACCTTGCTCACTTTCAAAAAACTCAGGTCTTCCTGATCTTTGGGAAGAGCGGCTGGATCGGCGGCCTCGTCGGCGACCTGCTGAAGCAGCAGGGCGCAAACTTTCAGTTCGCCAACGCACGCCTGGAGGACCGTTCTGGCGTGATCGCAGAGCTTGAGCGGGTATGTGTGCTACCTGGCAGTGTTGTCTGTCGCGTCTGCGTCACAGTCCAACCGCTTGGTGACGTATGCGAGAGCCTGGACGGCATTACCAACTCCAGCTGCGGCGAACGGCCCTGCGCAGTGGCCGAGGGACTGAGGTCAAGCACGCGCTTTTTCAACACAGGTGAAGCCCACCCATGTGCTCAACGCCGCGGGCGTAACCGGGCGCCCCAATGTGGACTGGTGCGAGACCCACAAGGTGGGTAGGTGCACCAGCACTGTCGCGCCAACATGCAGCGAGCGCAGAGGCCGGGCTCCATGCCTCGGACACCGCGCCCAGCCGCAAAACCTGCCCGGCACGTCGCCATGGCGTTTGTTTGGCATGCAGTAAGCAGGTGCAACGGCAGTCGAGATGGCGGCCGGCTGGGGGCTGATCCCATCCCGCCCTACGCCATCCCTGTGCCCCTCTAGCTGGAGACCATCCGCTCCAACCTGCTGGGCTGCATCACCCTGGCGGATGTCTGCCTGGAGAGGGGCATCCACATGACCTACTATGGTGCGCTTTGCGGGGCGGGCCGTGCGGCGGGCAGTGGGGGCATGAGGTGCTGCAGGACGAAGTTGCCGTCAGGGGTGAAGTTTAATGGGGCAAAGTGTAGGCCGAGCCGCCTGCGACAGTGTCCCTCCACCTTCGCATGACCTCCCGGCGTGCATAAAGGTTTCAACACGCACGCACATATTGACCTCGTTCTGCACCCGCACCCATCATCCCAAGGCACTGGCTGCATCTTCCACTACGACGACGTCTTCCCCCAGGGCAGCGGCAAGGGCTTCAAGGAGAGCGACAAGCCCAACTTCACTGGCTCATACTACAGCTACGTCAAGGTGGGCCCGCGCCCCCAGTCTGCCATTGTAGACAGGCGGCTTCGGTTGGTCGCCCGCGGCGGACGCGCAACAGCGTGCGTTTCCGTGGATACCACAGGTTGCCGCTAGTGTCAGCCGACGCGATTTGCGGCTGCCATAGCACCGCGGCGACCGCAGGCTGTGGAGGCCGACGTGTATTTGCAGCAGCTGGATGTATCGGCGCACCGGCAACGCCATGCATGTGTGCATCACTGTTAGAAGCAGCCGCTGTGACCGAGTGTGAGTCGCCATTGGGAGGCATCTGGCCCAGGCTGCCACCTCAATCAAACTCTTGTTGTTACCCCTCCCCCGCTGTCTTCTGCCCTCCAACCACAAAGGCCATGACCGAGTCGCTGATCCGGGAGTTCCCCAACGTGCTGACGCTGCGCGTGCGCATGCCCATCGTGGCCGACCTGACCTACCCCCGTAACTTCATCACCAAGGCGCGCCATCAGTTCTGATGACGGGAGCGGCATGAAAAGGGGGGCAGGGGGGGCTGCAGTGTGTAGAGGCGGCCTGGGTGATGTCAAGGAACACCTGATGCATGTGTGACTGCTGATTTGTGCGCGCTGATTGCGCTTGGTGGCAGCTTCAGCGGCAGTGGTCACTTAACAAGGAATCTTGCTCGGGAATTGCCAGATCAAACTCTGTTGCCCACGATGCAAATTGCACACTCCTACTGCAGATCATCAAGTATGACAAGGTCATTGACATCCCCAACTCAATGACGGTGCTGCCGGAGCTGCTGCCGCTCTCCATTGAGATGGTGGGGGTCTGCCTTGAAACGTCGCTGCAGATGCCAGGCTGCTCTGCCGCACGTCGCGCTATGTGTTGATCGCCTGCCCTTGTGACCCTGCGACACTTGGGCCAGCACTTTGCTTGGGCTATGAATTTGCTTGGGCTGCCGGGGATTATTCTGGCCGATTGTCATGGCCGCATAACGTCATGTGTACCCCTTGCAGGCCAAGCGCAAGCTGACGGGCATTATGAACTTCACCAACCCCGGGGCCATCAGCCACAACGAGGTGTGGTGCGGCGGGTTGGTGGAAAGAGAGTCGGTTGAAAGGGGCGGCAGCCAGCTGGCCTCCACACACCCCATTTAGAAGCTGGCGCCTGTGCAAAACATTGATGAGCCAACCAGCAACAACCCCCCACGAGGCGGTTTCATGTGACACGCTCTTGACTCCATGCCCCACGCCTGTGCACCTGACTCCAGATTCTGCAGCTGTACAAGGACTACATTGACCCGGAGTTCACCTGGTCAAACTTCACGGTCGAGGAGCAGGCCAAGGTCATCGTGGCGCCGCGCTCCAACAACCTCCTCGACACAGCCCGGGTAAGCTGTGTGCGTGCCCGCAACGGGTCCGCCGGTGCTCACCCCTGATGCATCCTTTGCTGGGCGCTTTCCCGCCAGCCTCGTGGCCCCTCCTTCGAGCCGCGTCGGTTCGCGCGTGGATTGCCGCACCCGCCTTCCGCCGCCTGCGCCCCGCGCCTGCCGCTGCCAGATCGAGGGCGAGTTCCCTGAGCTGCTGCCCATCCGAGAGTCCCTCATCAAGTACGTCTTCGAGCCCAACGCGGCCAAGGTGAGCCGCGGGGCGGCAGGCCGACTCCCATTGCATGGCTTGTTTGCAGGTTGCACAGCCCTCGGCTTTTCATCGAGGCGCTGCCCTGCGTGATGCAGTATTTGCAATTGCGTCCAAGTGACTGCAAACATATTGGTCAGCAGGATCTTGTCGCCATGCTGCTCTTTGGCCTGAGCAGCTGTCCTCGCACCCCCACCCCTTGCAGAGGGAGGAGACGCTCGCCGCCGTCAAGGAGATGCGCGGCCGGTGATCCGCGGCGCCCGTGAGCGCTTGATCGGCAGCAGCTGCGCCGCAGCATTTACGCCAGCGCCCCTTGAGCCTGCGCACTGCAGCCGCCAGCTGGCGGTGCGCAGCGCCCGCTGCTGCACGGCATGCGCAGGCGCGCAGGTTTGCATCTTGCGATTGCAATGCATAGGCAGAGACACACATCGTGACCCACTGGCAAACACTGGCGCTCGCATGGTCACAGTTGCCCGTGAACGTACGCAACGTGAATCAGTCAGACTTGCATGTAACGACCTCACTCAGCCGATTTGGCGTGGGCAAGGGCCTGGTGGGCACATGCAGGGACACGAGGGCATTGCGACCTGCAGTACAAATTCTTCAACTTACCCGAGTGTGGGCCTTGGATGCCCGTCTGGCAGGACAAGTATCACACAACACATGTAGGTGCGATGGCACATGTGTGGGTACTGCTTCTGGTACGATGCATGCACCTGGGATGGTGGACCTATGTGCATCCTTGCAAGCAGCAGAGCTCACGTCACATGGATCAACAGCAACAACGCCAGAGCTGGCAGCTCTGCCGATTCAAACCACAGTGTCCAATCTGCCAGGTGGCTCAACCTGCCGGGTGATACAACCCGGCGACAACCTGGTCGTGCAGTTGCTGTGCTTTGATGCGCTCATATCACCGATCACCCGTGATGGCCGCGATCTAGGCGTCCAAAATGGCATAACCGTTCTCGTCCAATGAATTTTCGAGTCCTGCTGTGCGTGACTGTTTCTGTAATAAGTGTCTCATGTCGCGCGACAGGGCCATCTCCTGCAGCGATCGCAGCTGGAACGGCACGCGCCGACATCGAAAGCGGCCAGAGCGCGAAGCGGCAGCCTCCGCATCACCCGCATCACCCGCACACGCACCCATATGCGCATTCGCACGACGTTCGTTGTATCGGCACGAGCGGCAGCTGGTGCGGCGGCTACTTCACGCAGCCGCTGGTGCCCTACAAGCAGCCCCCCATACATACGGCGACATGCCCGGGTGCCTGCAGCGGCGTCGGCGTGTGCCACAGCGACATTGGGCGCTGCGACTGCCCGGCAGGTGCCAGGCATCGTATGGCACATCATGGATGTTCCAATTTGGCCGACTTGTAAATCCAGCACTGCCGAACATGCGAATTGCAGTGCAGTGCGCATGCTGCCTACGCGAATGCAACCGCAGGCCGCCCCACTGAGCTCCGGCGCTCCACCGCCGCCGCCCGCAGGCTGGGGCGGGCCAGCATGCGCCGACCCGCAGAAGCGGCCCTGCACCCGGGGCTACCGCACGCCGCGCAACAGCAGCAAGCCCAACAGCCACATTGGCGGCGACAAGCGGGACCGAGACTGGGGGGCGCCGGGCTCGACCTTCTCCAGGCAGGCGCTGGCCAGCGCAGCGGGGCCTGCTTGCCGCTGGACGCTCGGCGCCAACAGACTCGGCATCGGGCAGCAGCACGTTTTGCGCCATTGTCAAATTGCATGTGCAGGGCGTCTCGGGTGTTGATGTGTTCAAATGCTCTGTGTATCGAAAGTCAAACGCATATCTAGTATCGCCCCCAGCCCCTCCTAAGTGCCAGCTCCAGACCTCAAACAGCATCAAAACTCACACTGCCCGCGCCAGGTGCGCCGGCATATGCGACGACGACATCGCCGCGTGCTACTGCGACCCAAAACTCGGCAGCGCCAAGCACGGGCGCATCCCGGCGCCCGACGGCAGCCCTCCCGGCGCGCCCCCCCTGCAGAGGGGGCGCGTCCTGCCATACCCCTGCAGCCACCTGGCGGACGACGGGAAGGGGCGCAGCCTGGGCAACTGGGCAACGTGGGGCGTGGCTTATGACAAGGTCTACGGCCCTGGGGGGTGGTGTGTGGCGGACGAGCCAAAGGTGGGGGCCTCGATCACGTGGTGGCTTGCCATGCAGTCAGTTGGCTGCGTCAGACACGATAGACTGTCAAAACTGCAGTGTTGCTACCAGAAAATAAAATATTCTGCTAGCCATGTTGTTGGTAACAAGCTTATCAGAACCCCTGCCATAGAACCTTGACATGCAGTCGTTCCATGCAATTCCACCCGCACAAGCACGAGGCTGTACCACCTGCATGCTCCACCCAGGTTCCCGAGTGCCGCTGCGAACTCGACGGCACCGGCGGCCCCGGCTGCAACCACCCAGGGGAGAGCTTCTGCCCCAATCAATGCAGCGGCCGCGGCCGCTGCGACCTGGGCTTCTGTCGCTGCGATGCTGGGTGGTTCGGCATCGACTGTGCGCACGCGGCGTCCGCTGATGCAGCTGCGGAAGCTGCCAGGAAGCTGCCACCTTGGCTCGCGGAGGTCACGGTGGACGCCTGGCGGTGCACCGCCACCGGCGACGGCTGCAGCGAAGGGATGCTGTGGGACGCGGAGCGCGCAAATAGCGCCAGCGGCGGCTCGGGCACCGCTGCTGCACCGCCCTTGCAAGCAGGGTCGCTGCAGGCGGAAGGGCTGCGCCCGGCCCCAGGGCCGGAGACTGATGAGCCATTGTTTCACGGGGCAGGCAGCGACGACGGCGACGCCCCTGAGCACGTGCTGCCTCGGACGCCACCGCCGCCACCCCCGCCACCGCCACAGGCGCCTGCAGAGGCGCTCAGGAGTGGCCGCGATGGCAGGGACGTTGTTGAGGCGAGTGCAGGCGCCTGGCAAGCAGTGGAGGAGCAGGGCAGCCAGCACCGACGCCTCGCGGCGGCGCCGCAGCGAGCGGCGGCTCCAACGGTCGCTGGACCC